ATCTACCACAGTCCCAAATGGGAAACTCTGGGATGTGGTATCCTGCCAGGAACTTCACTGCACAGAGACACTTACACAATCACTGAGTTTAAGACTTCAAATCTAAAACTGACGGTGACCCATCAGTCAAAAAGCCACAGGATGGAGCAAGGGCCCTCCTCCCCAAAGTTTATGTGATGAGAAAGCGATGGGCACATTCACGTGCAAGCATACACACAGGGGGACTGGCTACAAGGAGGCTCAGAAACAGTCCCCAAGGTGGGCCAGCAAGGCAAGGGTGCCACATGGCCTCTCAGCTCTGTCCCGAAGTACCAAGTCCAGAAGGGACGGCTCCGGAGGGAACAGAAGAGCCGACAGGGACTTCAAGAGGAAGACCCCCAAATATGGTATGGAATTTTAACTGTGCCCTCTTTGCTGTTTTTCAGCAGATGTTCTAGAGTCCAGTAAATAGTTTTCTTAAAATTTAAAAAATGAATCCTTTTTCCCCAGTCTCATTACCTACAGAGTTAATGGCCAAAGGCCCAGGAAGTATCTGTTCACTAAACGAGAAGGTATCCTTAACTTCTGAGCCTCAGTTTCTCTGTCTATAAAATAAAAGCTACAGGCAGCCATGAGGATTTCATGATACAGTACATATAAAATGCTTACCACACATGACAGGCACAGAAAGAGCTCAATAAATGTTAGCTTCTATTAATAATAAAACTATGTTTATTACCACCATGTTCATAAGATAGTGAGTCCCCCATTGTAGGAGGTGATCGAGCACAAGCTGGGGTGGGGGGGCTGCAGAGAGCACTCAATCACTGGCCATATAACTGGACTAAATGACCTTTAAGGTACCTTCTTCCACTTTTGAGATCATGAGTTTCTTAAGAGAGCAGGAGTGAGGGAGAGACACTGCTCTATACAGGCACATATTTCCTGACATTTTTCTTTTTAGGGCAAAGGACTAATCTCTTGATCCCTTGCTTCTCAAATCCTTGAGCCTCATCCAAGAACAGTGGGTCCACCCCTCAACACTGATGAGAATTATGGCAGTGGTGACTGTGGCCTTAGAGTGACCTCTCATAACTCACAAAACAATCCACCCACATGAGACTACTATGCATTGGTTTAAAAAATAACAGTCATAATTCCTACTGCAAACTTAGTTAATTATGGCAGACTGAATAGATGCATTTATTGCTCTACCTCCCCAAAAGCCTACCACAATGACCGTGAAGGAATTTTTTAAAGGATGTAAAACCACAAAGACAGTAAGAACAGAGAAGACAACAGCAGTTAAGAGGGAAACAGCATTCTGGAAGATGAAAAAAGTACAGCTGAGTAGTGACTAACGCACAGAACAGCAGAGGCTCACACCCAAGTGCCTGTGAGGAACAGAGACCCAACTGCACTCAGATTCTCCAAAGGCTTGGGAACAGCGGCACCAGGTACCTCTAAAAGTGGGAGTGCAGGTGGGGTTAAAAACTGGTGACTTCTTTGAAAGCGGGAATAAAGAACAGTTTGGCCCTGGTGTTCCCTCCCCCAGTTCTCACAGTCCAGCAAGCCCTGCTTCCTGCCACAGCAAACTGGGGGTTCACTCTCTGGAGGTGCTGAGGGTAGCCAGCCTCAGCTGGGGGTGAAGTGGGCAGGATGCAGATTAGGTTAAAGACACCCCATAGCACAGTGAATCCACCAGGACCCTTCTCAGCTCAGCTCCCAGAAGGCTAGCCCTGACCATCCCCACGAGCAAAAGACTGGGGAGTCCCCTGGAAGCAAAATGAGTAGCTGAAGAAAAACAGAATCCTGAAGCCGGGGACCACCTGACTTCCGTTCAGTAAGCCCACCCTGATCCAGAGAGCTCCAACCCGTTTTTTTTAGAGCTTCACTCTTCAATGTGAATGGGCAGCCAAGGACCCCCAGTCATTTGAGGGAAGCCCCCAACACAAAACAATAGTGCAGTAGGAAAAGCGAGCTCAGGGGGAACAAAAAATGTTCAGGGGGCAGAGATACCTCAAAACCAAACACAAGAGCCAAAACCCAGAGCTTTAGAAAAGGAAGATGTTGAGGTAGAAATAAAGAAAAAAATACTTTAAAAAAGAACACAGAAGAAGAAATGCTTTAAAATGTCTTAAATTCAAAAGAGTAGAGAAAAGTTAACCCTGGAAAATCTCTGCCAAACAGCAGACATTTTAAAAAATGAGAGAAAACGTAAGAGAATTAGAAGGCCAATTCATGAGGTCCAACTTCTGACTGAAAAAAAATTCCAAAAGAGAACAAAGAGAACAGAGGGGAGAAAATGATGAGACAGGTAATACAAAAACATCTTCCAGAACTGACGAGCTCTTTAGATCAAAGTGTCTACCGAGTGGGAGCAAAATGCACGAGAATGAACCAACACCAACCCCGTTACTGTGCAAGCAACCCAACCAACCACCCCAGTAAGACTCAGAGACAAAACTGAGATACAGACACAGGAAACTAAGCTAACACAAAGAAGGGAGGCCGTTGCTCACTTCTTGACAAAACAAGAAAATTATCCAAGGAAGGAATGAAAACCAGAGTAGACTAAAGGGCTCAGCTGGTAAAAAAGAACTTCAAAGGCAAAAAAATAATAAATGCTGACTGATGAGTTAACCCAAAATTGTGATCTGGGAGGATGGAGAGAAGTGTGGGTGCTGGGTGGAGTAAAACAGCCAAATCTTCCACAGGAAGAAGTCAACAATTAATAGCTCAAGTCAAAAAAGATTTAAGAGGTTAAGCATACTATCTGGAAACATGGAGGTCATTAACAAAAGAAACCACCCTGAGAACTGCAAGGGGTTGCTTCTGGGGGCAGGACCTCAGGGACTGGGCAGAGGAGGACAGTGTCTTCCTCATAAGCCAGGATACTGCCTGAGTTTTAAAAGCATAAAAATGCTTGTGAAGGTGATGGATATGTTTATGGCACTGACTGTGGTGATGGCTCCGAGGGTGTATATTTATCTGCACACTCATCAAGATGTATACATTAAACAGGGGCCTGCAGCTCTTTGTATGTCAATCAGACCTCAATAGATTGTTTTTAAAAAGTAAAAAAAAAAAAGAAAGAAAGAAAATAAAACTTGGATAGAAATATTTTCAGAAAGAGGAAAAGAAAAAAGAAAGAAAAAAGACAAGTGAGCTCGAGGTACTGTCAGTGCACAAAGGTCCCATACAGTTGCTACAGGGGTCGGAACGTGTCCCAGAATGGTTTTGCTTTCTCTTCCACTGCCAACTATTTAAAAAATTCCAATTTCAAAGAGGGTTTTCTGCATTTGCAGTTGTTATTTTGGAGGACAAAGATCATCTAAGCTTTTGGCACAGTTATCCACAGGATGGAGAAACAGGCAAAGACAAGGGTGGGGATTAAGAAAGCACTCCTGACGATGAGTGCGCTCCAACTTTGGGTCTGGGGGAGGCAGATCCAGCGGATGCTCTGCAGAGTCCTCTTAGCACCGAGAACTCGAATTTGACCCAAAGGGTGAAAGGCTGTGAGCAGGTGCTCCCATGACCCCGGGGTACTTTTGGGCTGGCCTGCCAGGCAGTGGGCGGCTGAAGATACAGACTAAACCCCAAAGGCTCTGCGTTCCTCTGTTTGGTCATTTGTTTCTTTTCTTTTGTCAGGACTCAGGTGACCAAAAGACTCAGGCCCAGCTCTTACATTGTTAGACTCGCCAGAGCCCTGGGCATTAAAAACTACCACTTCCTGAAGATCCTGAGCAAACGAATCAGGAGTTGTGTCCAAAATCCTGCCACTTCCCTGCCAAATGTAGCTGAATGAATGACTAAACATTTGCCTGCAACAGGAACTAACTCAGTAAACCACTTAACCAGTGGGTCAGCCCAGAAGTGCTGTCCTGGAGGGTAAAATCAACTCCCTGGGGCTGTGGAGGAAGGAGGAGTGCCTTTTCCCTGAGACCGGCACAGTGCAGCAGGAACATCTGTGTGGTGTGGGGCCCGGGGCACCTGGGCCTGCGTCTCACCTGAGGCCCTGCTGCAGAGCCCAGCGAGGCCATGCAAAGCAATGCCTGCCAGACACCCAGGCTCTGTGCCAACCCACCCAGAGAAAAGAGGGAAAAATGGATGGCAGTTCCTATGAAACAGAGCTTCCTGCCAGACTTTTAGCCCTGAGAGGGCCAGAGGGAGCCCCAAATGGCACTGAGAGGGAGGAAACGAGGCTGGGTGACTGGGGGCCAGGGCTCTTCCCCCGAGCATATCGCCGACGGGCTGCATGACTCTGGGCACCGAGCTCAACCCTCAGAGCCTCCGCTCCCCTATATGAGTGTAGGCATAACAGTGGGGCCTCCTCCCAGGGGTTGTGAGGATCACAGGAGACGTACCCTCAGACAGTGCCTCACATACGGTGGCTGCTCGAGTGTTATTTACTGACAACCTCCTCTGAGTGAGCCTTGCAGGGCAGCATCCCCAGACTCCCGGAATGAGGCAAGAGGAGTGTTAGGTCTCCAGGCTCCCATGGAGCAGCAGATAGCGCTCCTTCTGGGATCCATGCCAAGGCCAGAAAAAAAAGGCAAAGGCTCCAAACTCTAAAAATAGTTCAGAACAACCTTAGAGGGGGGTCAGTTCTGTGTGTGCTGCTGCTGTCCTCTGTGGGTAATGTGCATGGTGTTCGTGGATCAGCCCGGCCTGCCTCCTCCCGGCGTCACCTCCACCTCTGCAGCCCAGCACGATTCCCCCTCCCGGCTCTGAAGAACCACTGCAGCAACTGCATTACTCACTTGGCATTCAGCACAGACCGCCATATCTGTCTCTCTGGATATGCCAAGACCTCGACTAGACTGCAAGTTCAAGAGCACGGGCTGCATTCTTCCTTGTAGTTCCCATATCGCCTGGCATTAGCCCTTACCCACAGTAGACGCTGACATGTTCCTAGAACCACAGGATGGTGCCCTCAGAGATCTGCCCCGGCACGAGTCTCCCTCATGCTCACAGTTATCTGGCTGAGAGCCCCAAGTCTCCCCTGGGCTCCCACGTACCTCATCCAGCTGTCTCTTCGTCTCTTCTTCCATCCTCCGAATGTCGTCCATGGTCAGGTCAACCCATTTATCCAGCCAACAGAACAGCTGCCTGTGGAAGTTTGTAAATAGACGCTTCTCTTGCTATAAAAAGGAGGGACCCAAGTTAGAACGTGGAAGGTGAAGGCCACTGCTGCAGCTCTCCTCCCCATGACCAAAGCCCACACTCTGCTGGGAGCAGGGGCGAGGAGTGACACCCAGCTGGCTTATCTGGATCAGCCCTCCAGTCCCTTAGGTCAACGACCTTTGCCTTCGTGCATCTGCCAAGTATGGCTTCAAGCTGGAGGAAGCCCCCTGGAGAGGCTGGGTCCCTACCTCACAGTGAGGCTCTGTGCCCAAAATGCTACCAAGATGGGCAGCCCATGAGCATATAGCAGAGCCAAGGTCCCAAAACAACTGTGCCAGGTTTCCTCCTTGTCCCTGGAGCCTAAAGCCAGGTTAAAACTGGCCAGTAGCTATGGAATGTTGCCCAGTTATACTAGACTCTCATGCACCAGAGATAAGGCTATAAAAACTCCCTAGGGGCTATTTAGGCAAGTGACTCAGTTTTCCTGGGTTTCTCCCATGTATACATGTTATGACACTTTTGTTTTGATAGTCCCTTGTTTAAAAAGGAAGGAAACTCCTTAGGTCTGTCTGGTTTAGTAATTCAGGGCCCTGGAGAAATTGGTTCCTAGTGCCTCTCGCCTTTTGGCTTCAAGAAAAGATACTGAGTTTTGTCGTTTATTCGTAGCAAGCCCCTTCTTATTTTCCTCTTTTGCCTCAGTTTCCTTCCCTGTCACATGTGGTGCCCTTGGACAGACAGCATTAAACTGTAAGACAGTTAAGTGCAAGGGGAAGTGGGGGTCTGGGAAACCAATCTGAAATATTCGGATGTTGGCTACGGTAAGATACAAGCCACATGGGGTGTATGATCCTCTCTTGTTGGGCCAAACACCCCCCACCAACACACACTAGGAAGGCTGCACCCTGGTCACTTACCTTGTGTATAAAGTTTTCCACTTTGTTCTGTAGGCCCCACCACTTGAACTTGACAGTAACCAGTTTGTATGCACACATGTATGGGCAATCTTTCTGATTTACAAGTTCCTGCTGTATTAGAAACACACCCACAGGCAGGCAAGTAACTAAGAGGGCAGACCTCTGGCTCTCCCTTAGCCCAGTCCCAGCCATTCCCCTCCACCTCCAGGAGAGGACCACCCACGCTGTGCCCAGCCCCCGCCCCCTGGTGGTGAGGGTGTGAACTGCACCTTCCAATTGGGGCCCAAGGGTCCTCGGCCTGTTTTGATAGATTTAAATTTTGCAGGGTCTTCCTCTGCCTTGTAATCCTGAGAGAAGTTGTAGAATTGGAGTTGGAAGCGAAGAGATGGGGGGAGAGAGAAAGAAGGGGAGAGAAAGAGAAAGAGAGATCAGATTTTCCACCAGAGCACAGTTCATACCATCCTTGATGTGACAGGCGCACAGAAAATATGGGGGAATGTTACAAACAAGATGTAGAACTGTTTACATTCGCCTCAGAGGAGTTCTCTGCGATTTTCTCTGCCAGGGTTTGTTTTCAGTTTTACAAGACTGTGCGAGCAGGAATCTACTTCCACTGTTTAAGATGGGGACTTGCAACCTGGAGTCAACAACCAGATCTCCAGGGAAAGTGTTTTCAAAATACAGCAGTCGCTTGAACAATGCAGTGGTTAGGGGTGCTGACCCTCCGAGCAGTCGAAAACCCACGTATAACTTAGAGTTGGCCCTCCATACCTGCAACCCCCTGCATTCTTGGATTCAACCAACCAGGGACAGCGTGGAACTGTAGTATTTACTATTGAAAAAAAAAATTCCACATACAGGTGGACCCCTGCAGTTCAAACCTGTGTTGTTCAAGGGTCAACTGTATAGATTTCTGAGCTATTTATTCCACACAAAACTCAGTGAATAAGAACATCTGCAAGTGAGGGTGGGATGCACTTTTTTGTTTTTTTAAACCTCCCAGGTGATTCTAAAACGGCAGCCTAGGTTGAGAACAACTGGCTGCTGCCATTCCTGAAATCTTCTAATCCTATCTCCCTCTGGTTTTTGTTTTGTTTATAAACTGGCTTGTTTTAATAAAATCCCTACTGGAAATGTTCAATGTATAGACTCTACCCTCTTGTGTACTATCGTCAGTCTCCCCTCACTGATTTAAAATGCAGTCAATGCTGTGTGTTAATTAACTGCAACAGAAGTTTAATCTTTGGCTGTTCCTCTGCATTGACTAACATGGGCTCAGGAAAAGCAAACCCCTTAGAGCATCTACTTAACAAATTAAAATATTTTAGGCACACAAAGTGACTCCAAGAAAGAGGTATCATACCCCTGGGGTATAGAAAGCACTTTTTCCCTACCAATGGGCAGAAAGCCAAATTCCTGTGCCCAGATCCCAAAAGGCCCCATTCAAATAGGAAGAGGACTGGATGGGGGACCTAAACCTTTACTTCCCTAAACAATACCTCCCGGGAACACAGCAGTGAGCAGGACAGACCTGGCCCCCACTGTCTCCGACGTTATGGAGACACGTTATGGGCACAGAAGGCAGGACTGACAAAAATAATGACTGGCCCACACTTTAAGAGTCCTGAATCTAGTGGGAAAGACATAAACTATTAATCATAACATGTTAATGTTATAACGGATCTAGACACATGTTATAAGGATGCAGAGTCCTACAGAAATCAAAGGATGTTTGAGCAGCAAAATGAGAGAATGACTGAACGCCACTCCAGGGCAAACAGTGGATGTGACGATGGAAAGCAGGAAGGAAAGTCCTTCCCAGGTGTCTGCTGCCGTGTACGTTACTCTGAGAGGCGACCACCAGCTTCTTGGGGGAAGGGGACTTGTCTTTCCATATAACTGGCACCCCCAAACCTCCCCCACCACCCTGCAACCCACAGAACACAGTATTCCAACACAACAGATAGGCAATATGCTTTTCAATTACTGGGTTGGAAAAATAACGAGAACTAGTTCCAGGCCAAGTATCACTTCAGCAGGGTAACTCACCCTCAGGGCTACCAACAGTACCTGCGTTGTCCAGTGACAATTTCCAGAGGCCAAATAGGACACATACATCTGGGCCACTACTTTCCTGGTGGTATCCCCAAGTCAAGACAAGGGAACTCAACACTCATTTCACAACTAAAACAAACAATACCCAAGACAGAACCTTCCTTTGAGCCAAGGTGGATATGATTTCTTGGTTTGAGGAGTCATTTCTACATCTTAAAGGCCACCTATATTGCTAAACAGTTCCTACCTTGCTAAGTACTTGGCTTCGATCTGCAATGTCTATGTATATGGCTTCCACGTGTTTCCATGCCTCAGGCTCCAGTTTATGCACCTGCAGGAGGAAGGAGGACCACTGTGTGTTTCCATCATCTACAGAGCACACTTTACCCAGAACGGACACCCAGGAACAGCTACTCCTGTAGCCGTAGATGTGAGATTCCTACCGCTATATACAAAATTATCCAAAGGAATGGGAGGATGGATTTTAAGTGGACATACATTTGAGAACTAGTGCTCTGATTTTTCAGGCTAAGTGCAACTCCAGCAGGCCAAGACACCCTCAGGGCTCCCTCAGCACCTTCCATATATTCCCCCTTTATGAAGACTGTTACACACTCATGGAGATGTCGCCTGTCTAGCCATATACTGCTATTTTGATGCTTTTAAAAATTAACTGATTGAAACAGGGTGCACATGTACATGATACAAAATTATGACACAAATTCAAGATGTACAGCAGGATATGATAAAACGTAACTCT